TCTGAAGAAATTCTTCATTTTGCTCTCTGAAGAGACCTCCAAAAATTGCAAAGGAATTTATTTTACTTGACTTACTCTTTTACAATAGAAAAGACTGTGCACAGCTCTTGACTGTGTACAGCTCTTAAAGAAGAATATTGCCTTTACATAGACAAGACAAGGAGGGTTAAAGAGAGCATGAGAAAGGTCAGAGAAATCCCTGAGAAAAGGCAGAGATAGAAAGAGAAAGATGAGAGTTTGTACAAGAATTGGTTTTCAACCTCTCCATGGTTGTCAACCCTACTTTCTCCCATCTTGGGACCATTAATTGAATTATTTTTGCTTTTTTTCTTTTTGTCCCTGGACCTTAACTAACTTTGTGAAACAACAGATAAATAATTTGGTAGCAAAATCTATTCAGATACATTATCATAAGTTAGCTATGGAGGACCATGAGACTCAAGATAAGGTTGTTACTCTATCCAGGGTGTTCCCAAAACCCATCTCCAACCAACCTAAAAGAGGGGACTTCCATCCCTAGACCAAGCAGAGAGGGGCCACCCAGAACCCCCCCCCCCGACTGGTGATCTGAATTCTTGCTTAGGCTGCAAGGCTAAGCACTGCAAGGAAATATAAATAAAAGTTAAAAATATCTCTCTGGGTTCCCTGAGGGACAAGCCTGACTGCATAGGGGTTGATATCAAAAGTACCCCTCTCCAGGAAAAAGACATCAGGATGGGTAAGGCCCTCTTGACTCACTGGACAAAGACAGGGGGACTGGATACATTACAAAGTCACCTTCAATTACTAGAGGTCAGGCCTCTATCCCTGCCTTCACAAGATTAGAATTGCCACAGCCCTTCTATAATTAGAGAAGGGAGGAGATTTCAGGGGTAGCCCTGCTTATACACTGAAGGCCTAAAATCAGCCATAGGCCTAAAATCAGCAATAGGCCTGTCATACATGTATACTAACACCAAGTCTTGGGTCTCTGTGGATAAACACTGAAACAGATGGCTATAAGCTATTGTAAACAGGCAGTTTTGTGACAATTTACCAGCCTGAGTAGTCATAGACCTTGTAATTAGGTAGCCTTGGCAGATAATACCAACTTAGATAAGGACTAGTGAATCATAGGCAGAGTCATAGTGACCTATCCCTTGAACCCTCACCCAGCCGATACCCTGTTCTGAAAGATATTTGTACTCCCCGTGTACACCTATGCTCCATTGTCATCCCCTTCTCCATGTCCTGCGTTTCTGTGTTTATAACCCCTGTGTGAATAATTAAAACGTACGATTTGATTTAAAAAAAATAAATTAAAAAATATTCAAATGGTCAATAATCACAGAGAAGGTGAACAACATCATTTGTAGTGGAATTTATTTTGCTTGCTTGGCCATTTAAAAGATCCTCGGTTGTTGTTGACTGTCCCTTTGGGAATGTTTAGGTGTTAGAACTGTTGGACCCTATGATCTTCAGTGTAGATTGCCTCTTGGGCTTCTGAGAACATGAGAGGATATAAAAAGCCAGTAGAGGCTATGAGAGAGAAATAGGATTGGAGTAGGATGAGAGTAGGGTACAGGTGGAGGAAGAGTAGCGTCAGAGAGTAGAGTTAAAGAAGATACTTGGTACCTGAAGAAAGATGAGAAGACAGTGCAGAAAAGAAATTGAGCAGAGTGACAACAGGAGACTACTGACCCAAGAGAAACTGAGCTGAGCCAGAGAAGATATTGTTAGGAGACAGAAGAACCCACAAAGTAGCAAAAAGTAAGGAAAGCTACAACCATTGGTAATTAGAGGATGGTAAATCAAAGTGGCAATGGGATACTACTTACTAGAATGACAATCATAATAACAAATAAAGAGATTGGTAAATGTTGGTGAGAATGCAGGGGAATTGGAATCCATAAACCTGAAAAATGGAACTGTAAAAAGATTCACAGTTTCTCTGAGAGTCAAAATTTGAATTGCCATGTAACCAGGCATTCTACTACTAGGAATGCCTCCAAGTATTCAACAAAGATAATGTCTGCATAAATGTTCATAGCAGCATGGTGGCTATCCAACGATGAAAAGGTGAAATATTAATATATGTAATAACATGGATGATACTTGAAGATATTATGTTGAGTAAACATGAGCAGAAACAGTAGATCATGCATTATCCTCTTTTAAAGAAAATATCCCTAATATGTGGGGTTAGGAAACAAATTAGTGGTTAGCAAAGCCTGGGAGCAAAGACTAAGGAAAATAACTGCTAATAAACTGCTAATAATTTGAGCACATGGTTTTGTTTGTAGGCATGGGAATATTTGGGAGAGAATTAGAGGTAGTAATGTATGACATTTTAAATAGAATAAAGGCTGCTGTCCTTTAAAGTTGTGTTTCATAGAAACTTTATCCCAATAAAATGGCAGATGGTAGATTCATAGATTTCAGGTTTCTAGAACAGAATGAAATATTAAAAATCTGGATAATATCATGGATAACTATATAAATGCTATGGTAAGTTGTCCATATATTTAAGGCAGTGCCTTCAAGTTCCTTCCAATGACCTCTTTGGAATGTATTATTACCTTTAATCTATAATCTTCATTTTATAAATAATGAAATTTTATAGAAAAAATATGCACTTAGTCTATATTGAATAAAGACTTAATTTCATTTCTTTCTTAAATTTCAAATAGTCTGAATTAATCAGTAGAAATTAAGATTTTTTTCTTGAATCACTTGCCCCATGTATAGATTCCCTTTGATTGGAATGAGAACTCCAATTTTTATTATCTCACATATATGATCAAGTAATACATGCCATGTGCCAGGCAGTTTATTCTTATGTATTCCTGAACTCTCTGAAATAATCTTTAGTCTTAAAAAAATAACTTCAATAAGGAGGTCTCATTATCTCTCCTATCATAAAAGGAAGTCTGAACTCAGAAAGTTCAATAATTTTGACAACAGTCAAAATTTCTGAATGACCCAGACAGTATTCCAAAGTAAAAGTGCCTGGCTTCTTCCTTCTGCTGCACACTCTCCATCAACATATATTCTTGCCATGCTGGTCAATATTGAAGGATAGTGAACTGAACAACCAGGACAGTCTGGCTAATCTCAGCAGTTTGAATGATCACAGCTAAGAAAGAAGTTGGTCCCGTGAAGATATATTACTATGTGTTACCCATAAACTACATATTTCCTATTCTGTTGACCAAGATACTACCCCTTTCCTGCAACTGACAATGCTTTCTTATAACTCGTATGAAATGTAAATGCTTGAGATAGCCTGTATCAACCTAAATACTTCCTTGCTGGAACCAAAAATCCCTAGAATGGCCTATTTAAGCAATACATTATAATTTCATCCCAGATATTCTTAACATCTTTAAGTGTATACCAAAGGACAATTTATTAGATATCATAAATTATGTATGTAATCAATCACTGATTATAACTCTGCTTTTAACAGAATATTGAGGTCAGAGATTTGACATCATCAAATAGAAAGAGAATAAGGCTTAGGATAAAAT